AGGAATAAAGTTATTTTTAGATCTACCAATTTTCTTTTTTGAGATTATAAAAATGAAATTTATTTTATTGTAAAATAGATATTAAATAATTAAAATAAAATAAAAATATGAAAAATAATTATTTACAAACAATTGCCGAAGATAGTTTTTTTTTAAAAAAAACAAGAACAATAAAATATCAATTTATTAACATAGTTATTTAAATTGCCAATTAATGCTTCTTCTTATGACATGGCTGCTGTGGAGGCCAATAATTTCCAGGTCGACCACCAATATATCCATCTCTGTTTAAATCAATATGTGTCATTCGTTCAATTTTACCAACAAGACCTATTCAATAGACAAATAGAAAATTATATCACAGTATTAAATTAAATAGTATTAAATTACCTCCACCCGGTGGTGGTCTATATCCACCAATGATCCCATCACGATTAACATCAACATGAGTGGCTTGTTCAAGTTTAGAAGTTATTCCTGGTCCTCCAATTCGACCATCACCATTTAAGTCTACACCAATTTTTTCTTCTAATTTTCTTGTGATATAATCTATATAAAATATTTTGAAATAAATAATAAAAAAAACATATTTGATTTTGAACTTGAAAACTTACTCATAGTTATTATTAGCTATGCGCAGTAAATGCCTTTCTATGTACTAAAATCGTATTCACTACAAGACGCTTTTTTTATATCTTGACTACTTATTTTTTCTTGTTCTTTTATATGCAAATACAACGAAGAAAAATAAAAATGAGTCAATTCGTTCTTTCGCGAACAAGTATCGACGTCATTATCTCAGCGTGTATAGGGGTAACTGATGAATCATAAAAGGTGAATCATGAGTCGATGATTTTTCTTCTTCTTCTCGATATTTCTAAATAACACAAATTATATTCTTTCGTGACGTTTTATATAACAAAAAAAAAGCAAGGGCAATGTACAAAGGATTAATTTCGATATTTGTTCAAGAACAAGATCCTTGTTTTTTTTTTAAATTTCTTTCTAAAATATATCATTAGATTAATTCTATTTTGTACAGGTATTCGAAAGAGATTGTTTGCAATCGAAGCAATCTTTCTACTTTATTAAGAAAACATTTCAAGTTTGTTGAAGAATTATAAACATATAATATTCTTCTAAACATTTTATCATGTTCTATCTGGAAGAATAATATATTTTATTTTCATTATAAATTAGAGAACGTCACTGGACAAGTCTCTTCATCCTGTTCTGCATTTTCACTGACTGTCCGTCATTCTGTTTTGTAGGATATTGAATAGGACATCAAAATATTTGTCCTTGTAGGACAGAAGATCTTCCTAAATACAGTCTACAAAACGATCGTTTCATAGCATTTTTGACAAGGATAAAACATTGTTTGTATATGAAGTACGATGTCAAATATTTTAGACGTAGTATTTATACAAAAATTATTGACAATATAGTCATGTTAATTAATCTTATCACATATTTTCCAGTTGAAATAAAATCAACAATAAAAAAACCCTACTTGACATCTATAATGTGAACACAACAAAAATAAAGCAAGCAAATCAATATAAACACATGAATAATGGGAAACGATAAGTTTTTTTAAATTGTTTTTTCTTAAATTTATCGTATGAACGAATAAATAATATGTTATCAATTTAACTTAGTGATAAACGTGTTCGTCTTTGAGTAAATATTAATCCAGTTGAACTAAATAATCTTTCCACCGAAGAAGTAATCGTTGGTATGGCATCTAGTCTTCTCGCTACTGTTGATAATAATGAAAAATTACGACAAATTTTACTAACAGACCAGAACTTCATTGGATCACGATCAATGAGGTAACTTGAGTGTTTTCTGATATGAATATGAAGGTGATTAATTTCAAATATTGTTTGACAATGAGATTTTGAATCATAACGAGAAATTTCTCTATACATACATGTGGAATATATTCATTTTCTTTACAATATATTTTGATAATTTCTTCTAAGCAATAAATCTAATTTTAGTTTAAACTAAAAAAAGAACAGAGAAGATATTTTTCTTAAGAAAACTGTTTGTTGAAAATTCGAATGTATAAGTTGAAACAAGTAAGTTTTACAAATCTCGTCGAAAATGTTGCTGATTCTCTAGTCTACTGCATATCAGTCTTTTTATTGCATTTAGTTGAAATGCGAGATAATTATGAAATATGACCTTAAAAATGTCTTGTCTTCTCTTCGAGTCATTTAATCAAATCTAATGTTCGGAAATAAATAATTTATTAATAAAAATTGAATTGAATATTTTCATCAAAATTTCAACATAGCTTCTTTTTAATATTTTTTCATTTTACCGAATATTAATACAATAGAAATGGTTAGATAGACGTGACAAGTTTGTCAACGGCAAAAAGTAAACAAGAATAATTTAGATTATGTTCGATTTTATTAAATTCAGAAATTAATGAATCATAAAAATCACTAAGAAGAAACTTAGTTTCTATTGTATTCTTGTCTCCAATAGATTGTATCGGATATTCAGTATTACCTTGCAAAGATGAGACTTGTATGTTTCACGATTTTGCGAGTCATTCTTGCAAAGGTATAATGCCTATTTTCTCTGTATTTTTCTATTTTTATTATATATCTTAACGAAGTGAAACACAAACACAAGAATAAGAATGTACGAAAAAAAGCATGTGATTCGAAACATATGAGTATCAGGATATATAGACAGTAGTGCGAACAACTGTGCGACATGGGTTTCTACATCAAACTAGAATTTATGATATTCGACAAAGAAAACAATTTGTACCGTGGTTGTTAAAAAGATAAAATATCACAGGATGATGCTGTCACTGTAGCGTTATCAGATGAATTATCCAGTTTTCTAAAATGAACAAGTGACTTAAGGATGATAGTATTCAATCCACTCTACTCTAATTTTTACCCTCACTATCATTTTCAACAATGCTCACCCTGAAAACTCGAACAATGAAAAGATACTCAATGATTCTAGTGGTTACTGTTATTCAAAATCCGATTAGTTGAGGATCCATAGTGTGAGTGTAGATGTTCACATCACATTGAAATCCACACCCACACTAGGTAATCAGGGAAACATGGCCGAAAGTTACCTTTGTCAAAGTTCAAATATTGGTATAGACATATTTATTGTTGGCCTATCTTACCATAAAATAAGATTAAGTGTACAAATGTGACTAATCATATTTCATGAAAATTCAGAGATTAAATTAGGTTTTGTTATGGTTATGGCACAATAAGCAATTTTTCGAAAATTGTATATTTCATCGCTAATTTCAGTAGCTGATTGTGAATTGCAAATTGATTAGAGAAATTTTTTAACATTTCTTCTATTGAGAGTCAAATATAATTTCTTCACATTTTTTAACTATAATTGTAGAGATTTTAAACTAAAAGAAATATTTAGTTTTAACATAGATTTCACTATTAGGACATGAACAAGATCGAACTGAATTTCGTATTCACATTCATTTATTTGAAAAGACTGTTTTTGATAGCATTGATAATTTCAAATATAGTTTTAGATCACGTAATTTTTCAATTAGAATTTTTTACTTGTATATACAGTTTTAGATGAGTCTTTCAATCCTTGATTAATGTAAAGTTGAAAAACTTGCCACTACTTTTCTTTAACATAATGCCTTCTGTTGTTCTCCATTTAATCTAGCTTTTTAGTTACGACGTCTATCCTATTTTTCATTTTAGATACTTGATTTATTAACAAAAACGGCTATGTATGGAATAAAATCAGAGAAAAACTTAGTTCAAAACATCACTTCATACGTATGAATGTTCTTTTGTTTCTTTTTTTTAATTGTGTTTTCAGTTGCTACTAGAAAATATATGCTGCATTGTTATTTTTATTTTTATTGCATGTTTTATTGATGTAGAATAATGTAAATATTCACTTTTTCAATAAAAATATTCGTTAATATAAAATAGTAATACTAGCTTCGCAGTATAACAATAGAAATCGAGATTTATGAAGAAAATAAATTCTATATTATCGATATAGTGAAGAACCATACTCGATTATAACATCGGAATATATCACAAAGATCGTTGGAAAAAAATGGCAGTTTATCTTGCTTCAGCTCACGACTATCATTTCGATCTATTGCAATTAATCGCCGATTTTTTCACGATTTGTTGAACACTACAAAGATTTCTGATCAAATTATGCATAACGCTTTGGCAATTATATTCCTTCATGTTTGTTTATCGTTGGCTATCTATGCCATGTCACATCAGTGACCGTAGATTGAGTTAGAAGCTTCCAAAAAACGTTGAATTTTGACTTCAAATCTTTTTCTTAGTTTCTAAAATAACACGCTAGAGAAAATTCAAGGCCATTTTCTTAATCAACACGTCAAGTTACATAGAATAGCTAGCAGTTCAATATATTTTCTAAAAAATAATTTCTTTTTGAAATTTGACAAGAACTGCACCAGACGCTTTTTGTGGAGGATATTTGTTTTAAACAAAATTTTCTTCTCTTAAAGATAATTATCTAAGTGATATTTAACCCTGAAAACCAGTTTCGAAGCACGAGTATTGCAATATGAAATTCATCCATTGAGAGCTGTGCACTGTTATTAAAAAAACAAACCCATTGTTTTCATTCACTCTTCCCTTTTCAATTTATTTACGCTCTCAACAATCAAATTTAATGAAAAAAAATTCTTTTGGAGATTTACATTCCTCGCTTCTTTAATGACATAATTCTACATAGAAACAATTGCATACTAAACCATCGAGGACCAAAAACAAAATCAATCATTGTATTATTTGTGGATTATTTGTGCTTGCCCACTGAAGGTCTCTTACAAATGCAGACAACCTGAATTTCATGAACTAAGCAAATAATTTTCATAAATCAAAAAGTCTATTGAACTTGTTGAAAAAAATTTCAAAAATATGACGACATTAATATCGATGCTGTTCTTCAACATATTTTTTGTCTCAATACTTATCTTGATGGCCAATGGAAGCCATTTTCTGGGTGGTACTATTACTTGGCAACTACAGAATAAATCGGCTACTGGTACACCTGTGGCTGTTCTCATAACTCAGACATATTCATGGACATATACATCTGCCATATGCACAAGTACTATGATTGCGACTAATCAACTTATTCCCATTTCAGTAGGATCACTTACTTGCTCGCCGATTTGCCCAGTTGGTTTTGGAACTGTGTCCGCTACACCACATTGTACCGATATTTCGGTGATAAACGGCATCACTGTTGGACAACGTTTAGATACAGTTCATATTCCAACAGGCAGCAACTTTTCAATAGCTTTTGCAGGTGGTGCATGGGGTTCTCTAACATCAGGCGGAAGCAGTTGGTCCATTACATCGCATGTCAATCTAGTACTAAGAACTAATAATGGCAAATATAACAGTGCTCCAGTTTCTACCATGATGTCTCCAATCAATATTATATTGAATGAAAGTACAATTATCACTGTACCATTGAGTGATGCTGATGGAGATGTTTTGCGTTGTCGTTGGGCAACATCATCGAATGGTGTTGATGAATGTGCAAGCGTTTGTCCCCCAAGTTCATTGCCATCAAATACAACTATCTATTCAAACTGTACCATTGTAATTACTGGTAGCACAGTTGGCAATAAGTTTGCTGTGGGACTTATGGTTATCTTTTTGTTCTTTCATTCCCAAAAAAGAAACTGATTTTTTTCTTTTTCTTCTCAAATAGGTAGAAGATTTTATCAATTCAACCAGTAACGTACCATTAAGTTCAGTACCCGTCCAATTTATTGTGAAAGTCATTGCTCCACTATCATGTATCTATCAACCTAAGTTGATCCTTCTTACAGAATCATGCACACCAATCAAAGTCAATGAAACATTTACATCAACATTATTGGCAATCAACAATTGTGGAGCAACTGTCACTATTACTGATATTTCTACACTGTCTTTTTCTGGTATGGTACAGACTTCTGTCATAAAGTTTAATTCGAGCGTTTTCTATAAAAATTTAACATGGACACCAACAATAAATCAAGTTGGCTATCAAGTAATGTGTGCAATGGCTCTCGATAGGTACATATTAATCAAGTTAACAAACTACAAAAATAATTTTCGGTTTTTATTTTAGCCAAAGTTCAGTCTTCACAATACTGTTTTACATTCTATGTCACAGAAAATGGTGAGAATACATGTTCTGGGGTTACACACATTGCAAAAACAACGACAACAACAACATCCATAACAACAATATCAACGGGAGTGTCAGAAAAATCATCAACGGGTTTGCAAATGTCTTTTATTGTACCCTTTAGTACTAAATTTTTCTCTTCTATGTTCAGAAAATACTAACATTTGGCCATTGATCGGAAGCCTTATCGGTTTGTTTTTTCTAATTGCACTTATAATTAGCTGTTGCTTTGTGCGATATTATAACAAGTATGTACAAATTCAATAATCCAGATATCACTTTATCAATTCTGTTGTAGCCATTCGACTGGTAGATTTCTCTATAAATTGTACAACTCTAACACAACTATCAAGACAGATGATACGGGCTTATGTATGGAATCTTTTCCATCATTGGAATCTTCGCTCAATATTTCTTCTGCTACTCCAAAGATCAATTCTTCTCATAGTGTGCTGAGCAAAAGTACAACGAGATCGATCGTTTCTCAAAACTTAGCATGGAATACGAAAGAGAACGATTCTAACATGACAATTTTAAAGACGAAGTATTCTCGGTCCAAGATCGATAATGCTATTGGACGAAAGATGATAACTAGTGTATCTGTTTCAAAAGATGAAACAGTGTCGACTGTATTAAATTTGAATGTACAATCACCGAACTTGACATCTAAAAAAGAAAAAAAGAAAAAAGGTCTATCCATAGTCGACTGACATGAGAAAAAAAATGGTCAAGGCTCTTTAATGAAAATTAAAACTAACCAAAGATCAAGTAGTTTTAATGAACAACTACCGAAACAACAACATTCAAAAAGTAGTCATACAAAAAGACTTTCAAGACGTAGTAGCGCAGGTGACATAGATCATGCACGTGTCATTCATGTACTCGCACATCCAATGGCAACAAAAACACTTCCAGTTGATGATATTCGTCCATCAATTATCGAAAACACTATTCGATTAGACAATGCCGATGAAAAAATCCGATTAGCACGTTTAATGGATATGAGTGATAGCAAAATACAAGTGAAAACTGCACCACCACGTACTTTACGGACTACAGGTGTGCCTAGACCTTCGCAGATTGATACCATCCATTTAGCACCAGTCAATTCAAAACTGAACGTTTCTGCTACTTCTGCTGCCAATGATAAGAAAAATACGCCTAAAACTGCTCATGTTAAACGCATAAAGATGACAAAAAAGAAAACAAACACAACAACTGCTGTTGCCCCACTCAAGTCTCTCATTGAAGAAGAGAAAAATGACAGTAGCAACCATGAGTAGTTGCCGAGATCGTATGTCATTGTCAACTGCGTATCCCAAGAGAAACAGTTTTGTTATGAACATTTATTTAAAGAAATCATTGAAGTTTTTTAAATAGATTTATATACTTTCCTTCATACTGCTTTGAATAAAATTGTAGGTTTGAATTAGACTATGCGTCTGATTGTGATTATTGGGTGAGGCAAACTGTGGATAGAATATAGTATGCTTCTGAATAAGAATGACTGTTGTTGTGAGTTTGTGCTTGAGAGTGAGAGTGAAGTAAAATGAATGTATTCACCTTCATGTGCACTTTCATCCGAGATTCAGACATCGTATATGTAAATTTTTGAGTTATACAAGTTCAACATGTACTCGCATCTACTGGCGAGGCACAGAAGAATTGACTTTATCTGGTTTAATATAGAACGATAGACCGGCAACCACTACTACTGATTTCATACATGTCCGTCTCATAAGCAATATGCCTAGAAGGAAACAGCGTACTTCCCGTACGCTTAAGTAGTTTGAGTTACATTCGAGTACTAAAGTGTGTGTGTTAGTGTTAGGATGAAGGTTAGGACTCTGCAGAGTCAAACTTTTTCATTTCAAAGATTTTCAATTCTACAGTACTGACTTCAAGAAACTCCGAAGACTTTTTTTTGACTATTGCTATGCGTGCTTCTTTTTGTGCTACTTGCTAATGTGAAAGACCGTCTGATGTTTTTTTTTCTTGAAACTCATTTATGAGCCTATAGATCAGTATATTTTTGTTTGTTAACGACTTAGTACGTCAAGAGTAAAATTACGACTACTTCGACTACGAAAAATTTGTACTAATAACTCTGTTTGTGACTTCGATGGAATCGAAGTCATATTGTCACAGTTGTATAAGGTAACAGTTCGCAAAGGTAACACAAAAAAATTGAATATTGAATTTTTCTGTAGGGCTGCAATTTTCAAGTGAAATCATACTTTTGAATTTGGACTTAAAACTTTGCCCATATAAAGACAACGATTAGATACAATAATTATGGTAGAGTTCCCATATTTTAAAAACTAGGAAATTTTTTCTACAAACTAATAGTTTAATCGTTGCCTTCATATGGGCAAAGTTTCAGGTCGAAATTCAAAATAATAATTTCGCTACTCTAGAATATTTACTTACTCATTAGATCCTATCGATTGAATGTAGTTCTAGCTTAAAAGCAATTTATCACTTGAGAACATTCTCTTGTAAGAAGAAATCAATTACATAGATATGCATGCATGTATTTGATAGTTACCTGGATATGAGTGACACGTAACACAAGAGGGCGCTATCAAAGTTTGTTAATGATAACATCTATGGAGTAATGTAGAGGATAAAATGACGTCATCTTGTTGTCAGATTGCGTCGTCTACATTGTCTTCTCCAGCGACAATAAAAGCAAACGCTTGTCTTTGTCGAATGATAAAAAAAGAGACATTAACGATGACTCAAGCTTCGAATGAAGTAACAACTGTTCTAATTGTTGGCGGGGGTCTCGGTGGTTTGGCTCTAGCTCAACTATTATTACAAGCTTCGTCACCTTCCCTGAAAGTGATGCTATTTGAACGTGATGTTGATGAAGATGTTCGTGATCAGGGCTATTATATTACACTTAAACCAATGTCAGTTGAAATTAGTTGATAAAAGACTAAATAAAATAATGGAAATGAGTGCAGGAGAACTGAAAATTATCGACCGTGCTGTTCTAAGACGAAATCTTCTTAAAAATATTGATATTTGTTGGAATAAACGATTTGTCTCGTACACTATTCTTGATGATGGAATCGAAGCATATTTTCATGATGGATCATCGGTGAAGGGTACACTACTTGTCGGCTGTGATGGAGCACAATCACTTGTTCGAGCTCAACTTGTACCTAATCTGCATCGAGAAGATACAGGAGTTGTCATAGTAGCTGGTACTCTTGAACTAAATGAGCAATGCGTACAAACTCGACAGTTAATACAAAATAGTCTCGTACAGATACTTGGTGATCATGGTCATGCATTATTTTTAATTTCTGTCGGTCAATCTTGGTTCTGGTCCCTTTCGTGGGCATCAACCGATACAACACAATCAAATCTTTCTATGCCAGAGTTACTTGACAAATTTCGTAGTAACTTTAATAACGAAGAAATTGTTCGTTTGATGGAATCGTCTTTATTGTCGACACGCCTGACACCCTTGCGTCTCTATTCATTGCCACGTTTAAGAGTAAATCCATTTTCAAATAATCCTCGTGTGACACTAATGGGTGATGCTGCTCATCTTATGACTATTCAACGTGGTATGGGCGCAAATACAACTTTTGCTGATGCACTTGACCTTGTTGATGTTATGCGTCGTGGTATTACTCCAAGTTTACTTGGTGATTATGAAGAGAAAATGTTTAAACGTGGCTTTCAAGCCGTACAAGATTCTTTCAATAATACTCGCATGATACATCTATCAGGAAGGCAAGGCATGATGCGTGACTATCTTTTGTGGTGTCTTCGCTACACTATGACATTCAAAAATCTAATCTGGACAGCATTTAGTCGGGGTTGAGTAAGATTAAGTAATTGTTGATATTTACTCGTATTCTATGGACGAGTTTTTGTGTTTTCGAATTTCTGCTTATTCGATAAAATTCTGTTTTGAATAGATTTACTAAAGTAACAGAATATGATTTTACACAAGTATCAGTGGATTCGAATGCGAAATCCACTCATCCTCATATGTGTATCTTTGTCGACATAAAGCTACATTGTTTGCTACTTTGTATACGCTTCTTTTTAGTACTAGAATTCTCGATTCAGGATCATTCGACACATGACTTTTTCATAATCAACCATCTGTTAAGGATGAAGGTATCTTTGATTATATCATCATAAACATACATTAGTGTGTGAGTTTAAATGATCGTGAGAAAAAAAAATGGTATGAATAATAGTTGATTTCAGTCGATAATTATGACTATTATAACATTAATCGGTTCATGTCTGCATCTAAACAAATGATGATGAAGTCTTATTATTCCTCGTTGACTCATTTCTAAAGACATGGTGAACAGGGCTCGAAATGGTCCTCTTGGCAGGACCTAACCGATTTTTTTTGCCGAGTCAACCCGATACTTATATGTTATTTTTTTAATTTTTACTTTCGAATTTGTTTTTTTTAATTAGACATCTTCGAAAATGTTTAAGGGGAGAAAAAAATGTGAGTTTCAAGTCTGATTAATCTGATAAACCGTTGGCATCAATTGAAATCATCTTTTCTCTCGTTTACACGCAATATTCTACAATACATAAACTGTGTTAAATAGTGTGAGAAAGTAATTAACAGAAATAATGTGTTGAACATATACCGTTATCGATAGTAGAAGCTGTAAATAAACACTATTATCTATTTTTTTAACTTTTATTAAATAGGAAGTTTATGGGAAGCATATCAGTTTCTAGAAAAAGGCAATATTTGGAATTTTGAGCTGCTTTTCTAAGCGAAGTTTTTCCCGATTTCGATCATAAAGAGACTTAGCATGTAGTAGAGAATAATTAATCAGCGTGTTAACAATCCTTGATATTCAAAGTTAGAAGGCTCACCTTTAAATTGGAGGCATCGATAAATTTTTCTTCCTTTTTTATTGGCTATTCTCGATTATGAGCTAGTTCCTTGGATGATCAAAACTAAAAAAACGTTTTTACTCAGAAGTAGAGTAATTTTCATGAGTAAAACTCAACCGAAATTGTGCCACAGGATATCGAGCAATTTATAACAGTCATTATTGAGTTTGAATAGCTTACAGTGTATTATCTTTGGACTAAATAAAAAATTCAACTTATCAGATTAATTTTATTTCAACTTCGAGAATCTGGGAAAATCGAACTCAAGATATCATCGTTCCCTTGGTATTTTGTTTCCTGACAGTAAGCGAATTGGTTTCCTAAGTTTTTTGAGAAAAAGAATTTTTTAAACGAAATATGGTTCGGGCCTGGGCCGGACCGGGCCTCGTTTTCTTGGCCCATTTCGAGTCCTGATGGTGAATGAATCCATTTTGATATATGTAGATAACGACATAATGATAATCAATTAACTGAAATAATCATCTTCATCTGTTGCGAAACAAACTAAACAATGTTTTGAAGATGTAATAATACAAAAAAAAGAAGAATTTATTACATTCAAAAAAGGAAACAATCTTTACCGAGGTTCTGCAAAATTAAAAAAAAGAATGGATGGTAATATTACTATGACATTTCTAGTTGAATTATCTTTTTCTCAAGTAGTGAAATGTGGGTGTGTCTGTGATTGTGTGTATTATTTTTTGGTAAGGAAAAATCCAATAAACAGACTGAAATCCATACTTAGACCCTTAGTGGAAGCTATGTTAAAACTTCAATTACTATTGAATCGGTTGTCAGTGGTTAATTGTGCCATTCGATGTTGATATTACTTCTTTCATAGGTAATTACGAGAATTTCTATATTATTATATCCGTCGTTTTTGGTAATTGTAAGAAAGTTTCAAGAATACTCTATTGATTTTATATTCGACAATACATTCGACATTGAATGTTGCCATAATTCACTTTTTAGTTACTTATTCGAAACTTCGCCACATTATTCTCGGCTTGATATTAACCGATTATATATTCTATTTTTATTACATCAAATATTCTAAAATGTTTCGCAATATTAGCTTGCATACTTTTCTCTTCAAAA